AACCCAATAGTGATAATGATTAGTCGTAATCAAAATTGTGCAACATGTTGTAAATAAATAAATGTGAGACCATTTTCCTTATCAACTATACAAAAATTCAATTTCATATAATTCACTTGTCAACCTTGTTAAAACAAAATTTTTGAGCAATAAGGAACCCGCTCAATCCGCAAGTTTTTTTTTTAGAAAAACTGTGTGTGAGAGAATGTCTTAAGCCCAAAAATGATAATGAGAACGAATGAACTCATTGTCAGCAACCAAATTTTTGTACCTTTTTTCTTTTCTCGACAATAATTTTTAAACAAATATTATCGATTACTAATTTATCTATAAAGGTACAATTTGATGTATGTAGAAAAAAAAAAGACGTGATGTGGCTATTCCTTCCAAATACCATTCTTGATATAATTTTGAGCTGTGAAATTTGACCATTTCCGTGATCTATGTTTTCTATTAAATACAAACACACACACAACATTCCACATATTCCTAGCTTAGACTTTTTTTGTATCTTATGTCTCAATTAAACACATACATACATACATATGTTTCGCATACTAATGGCTTTGAAATGAAATTAACGTGAATGCACTTTGTTAATTCCTCATATAATCTGGATAAATATTTTGGCTTTATTGAAATAATAACTAAATGCTCCACTCTATTAATTTCACGTGGCAAATGTTTGGACAGATTGTTAATTATAAAACTATTATTTCAAATTTGCTTGGCATGGTTCATTAATGAATAGTCATTTCATTTTTTTTTTCCTGCAAACAATATCAATTGAATTAATTATCTGTAAAAATGATAATGAGTAGTCATTATCAGATGGATGTTAAGTTTTCATTGAAATTAGGCACTTGCTTCTTGCTTCTTTTCAATATTTTTTAAAAGAAATATTATCATTCAGATGCATTGAAGAAAACCAATTCATGGCTAGAGATGATCAGAAATTGGTACGTCTTTTTTAACAATAAAAAAAAATCCGCTGCTATTCTTTAAAATTGGTGGATATAAAACAGAGGGTTAAAATTTCATGGAGATAGCAGTTCTATTTTTAAATAGAGATGATGAGATATACCATCTCTGTTAACACATACAGGCTTCGCCAACCAAGAAAAGCAAGTCCGATCCAAATTTCAACATTATCGAAAAAAGGAACATCAAATATGTACATAAGTCCAGCTATAACAAAAAAAAAACATTGAGCTATTGCACGATCCATAAGCACAGATGGTTTGAAATGGATTTTAAAGCCAACATCTATTGGTATGTACGGTATCTGAATATGACTTCTATACCCCTCACATGATATGGCAACCTCTACTAACCTTCGCCTACAAGACCCTTCGAACATCATGAAGTTTTAGGAATTTGTGGGTCCAAATATACCTTCGTTACATTAGCAAAATTCGTGAGGGAGGTCAGTCTTGCGAAAATGGAAGAGAAGGATTCAGGAATAATGAACCAAAGGCATAGTTAATTATAAAACTACAAGTGATCTTTTTCCATATGTAGAATACCTTACCGGAGTCTCTCTTGACAAGAGCGTAGTGAACAACCACAATGAGGTCAGGCTTATCTTTCTTCTCTCCAAAACTGGTCCACATAGCAATTGCAGGATCACCAAACAGAGTGCACTCGAGCTTATCGCTGCTGAAAATGGAAAGATACAATCTTTCATGTCCAAAGCTCCATAGGATGTTAATAGAAAAATGTTAAAACTATTCCTGAAAGAGATACTTAACCGACTGTCCTCCACTACAAATTCTAGCCCCCAGGTCAGCATACCTCCATCTTCATACCAATCGTATATAACCATCTCTTTCAAGAAACCACAAACATCTGCATCAGAGAATTAACAGAGTAATTTCACAGAAGTGACATTGTTGATACAGTGAAGGAAACAGAAAAAATTAAATGAATGTACTAATCGCGTGCTCACAACTCAACCCACCACTCATACCTGAGTTCCCGAACAGGCTTCACCTTGAAGCAATGGGAAGGAATGAATTACAGAGTGCTCCACCATCTCGGTGCGCTCGTCCAACTCCAAGTGAATCTTTCGATGCACTCCAAGACCTTCAGACCTAACTGAAAAAGTGAATATAGTAGGTCTTTGTCTCTTCAAGCCTATTACAAACCTCCTAATGTTGGCATCTCCAAAAACAGAGATTGATCATGCATGTCCCTTGGAAAGGTGAAGATTTTTAAATGCAAGTGAGGATATTTGATTAACATGACTAAAAAAGGATGGCGAAACAACTCACTGCAGGGTCGAATACATTGGAATCCACAGATGGAACCCTCTTTGGCCACCCCATATCTCTGTCATACACGTCAAAGTTTGTCCTCAAGTAAGCCCCATCCACCTTCACGAAGATCCTATAGTCACCAGAGGAAGGCCCTAAAGCATCGAGACTGGCAAAGTCCCCGAAATCCATCTCTATTCTTGCGTGCATAAGCTTGGTGAAGAAGAACAAAGAAAGCTCACACAAAACAAAGAAAAGCATTGTCCAAAAAGTTATAGAGCGTCTCTTCTATTTACACAAAACGAATGGTGCATTTAATGGATTTAACAAACCTCTATGTATGGGTGTAAATAAACCAAAAGACCTGACTTCCTAATATGAATAGACAAAACAAATGAAAGACAATAAAAGACGTTCATCTTCCTTTATGAACACAAGCATTAATAACAGCCATCTTGCACAAAGAATGAACGACTTTGATCCTTCTATTTGTTTGAAGAAAATGAACATGCGTTGATTATATTTAAACTTGCATTCATAACCCCCCCGAGATCGAAGAAACTAATGGATTGCATCCCAAAAATGGGTAGCCATGTTGAAGCATTAACACCACTTCAAGTGGATCTTTGTTAAGAACATGCGACTCCACGAAAGTGAAAGACGGCTCCACCGATGTGCAGATATGAGAGAATAACAGAGACAGGTTATAGTGCTGTTATCTATGTATCTTCTTCATTCATATTGTATTGTAGAACAAAGCATTAAACATGAAGCCCCAAAAATTTTAAATGGCTAACCCTAGCCATTTTTGTAGCCGGCACTGCTCACAAAGCCGTTTTCCTTAGACAGCTTGATGACAATGACATCTTACCTCAAGAGCCGGTTATTAAAGCATGGCTGGGTGGAACTACTTTCTGGTATATATTGATAGTGGTGATGATTGGTGAGGTAGCGATGCAAAGCTTCTTCAATGATGATAATGGCTTTCAGTCTCCGGCGATGAGGATGGAGCTTCTTTGATCCGGCTCTTCAATATACTTCATCAATCTTCTTGGTAGGATTTCTTTTTTGGATTTGATTTTTGGACTATTCTTGGTGCCAGTGGCGCTCAATCTGACTACAATGATGGATGGTTGCCCTGGGAGACGATGGAGAGGATGCTTTTTTTAAAAAAAAAATTTATGAATATTTTAATCTTTTCAAAATATAACTATATTTATTAATTTTTTTATTTTACTTTTTTTTATGACAAATATATTTTTAAACTTCATTTTCATCTCTACCTGTGCCAATTTTACTTTCATTTCTATTAAAAGAGCATTTTTGAAAAAATTGTCCGCCAATAATAATTTTAAAAAAATGAATTTCCTTGATATACCTTCTCTCTTAGTAACCATCTCACCTACAAATAGAGTTAATAATATCTCAACCAACCAATCCAAAAGAAAAAAAAAAGTTGAGTTTTAAAAAAAAAAAGGTTTCATTTATATGTGAGATGATTTTGGCTTGCTTTATATAGTTTGAACCCGTTGATTGGCCCACTTATTTTTTAAAAAAAGATAAAAGTTTCAAAATCATTTTCTTAATTCTCATACCCTAATTATTATTCAAATTAATAAAATAATTCAAATTATGTGTTTATTATATATTGCTATTATTACTTATCACATTTAATTAGTTGAGATATTTTTAAATTCATGACCAATCAATTGCATTAGTATAATATGTATTCAATCAAAGACTTTTTCACAATTTAATTTGAGTGAAATATTTTTAAGTAGGCATGAGCAATATAGCCATATATTTTTTTGAATTATGAGTTACTATGCTATTAAGTTGAGGACAAATCCTAACTTTTTTTTTTCTTTTATTGTCTTGTTATTACATTTTGCTTCAATTAACTTATAATTTCTTAGCTAGCCTAAAAAAAAAGGTTAGCTTGCTAACTTTTACTCAAATTAATGTTAAATTTAATTTTGCTTCTACGTGTTAATTATATTTTCATGTTTAATTGCATAATGCTAATAATTAATGATAGAAAAAACTTCTAACATTATGATGAATTTATAATTTTTAAAATTTTAAAAAATATACAGAAAAAACATAACTTTTAATCCATATACTTTGCACGTGATTTGCTATTAGTTTCTACACTTTATTTTTGATATTTTAAATCCCTACAGTTTTTTTCGTCTACAGTTTAGGTTTCTACACTTTTAGAGGAGTGTTGACGTAACGGTATTAATTATGCTGATGTGGACAATAACACTATTAATTATATAATGATGTGTTAGTTAGTGACTGTCATGTATTTTTTCTGAGGAAGAAAAAAGCTAATGTGTACTTCACCCAATCTTTATTATAAGATATTTTCAATTGTTTCATGAATTTTAAGAAAAGTTAATTTTTTATATAATAAAAAATGATATGTATTTTTGTTTTTACCCTAAACTTTAAATAATGATACAACTATATTAAATACTTTTACATTAATCAAGAAAGAGTAAAATTAAAAAAAATTGTTCAATTATTACAAAATATCTTATACTTTGGATAAAACTTTTTTTCTAGAATATATCCTGTAAATAGGACCCAAGGGAGTTTTTTTTTTAATAATTAGAAAGTAAAAAAAATTGTCAGAACTTCAAACTTGAATGATATATTTTATACACATTAAAAAATAATAAACCATCATGAACCTAACCCTAAATCTAATTTGGTGCACACAATTGTAAGAAAGGTACCATGAAATATAAAATTATAATAAACTTAAAAATAGACATATGATATTTTCTTGTAGTCTTAAATCTTAGTTATATATATATATATAATAATAATTATTAAAAATGCACATAAATTTTTTTTTTCCAAAAAAATACACATTAGTCACTAACTGATATGTCATCATATAATTAACATTACTATTGTGTACATTAGCATAATTAATATTGTTAATATCATATTAATACTTCTCTAAAAATGTAAGGATTTAAAGTTTAAATGGAGAAACTGGAGAAATTGATAATACTACAAATAAAGTGTAGGACTGATAGTAAATCCAATTGAAAGTTACGTTTTTTTCAAATATATATAAAAACATTTTATCGTGGCACCAACTCACTGCAGCCTACATCCCGCAGCACTAAACCCGCTGCGAGCCAGCACTGCCTACAGATTCACGCACCAGGTACAAAGTTCAAGCTTCTCTGCCACTCACCAAGAGGAAAGCGAAGCCAATCACCGCAATGGGAGCCGATGTTCAGCGCGTCACCTCCGCAAGCGTCGAGTTTAGTTTCTTTCAACCCTTCTTTACTTTGGCCAAAAAAAAAAAAAACCTTATTTACTCTCTCTCATTCTCTTATCCTGTATTACCGGCGCATTTTAGCACTATTCCAGGTCGACGGCCTCATTGTGTCTGCGGTTGGACCGGGCCTTCTCGTCCTTGTTGGCCCCCACGATTCCGATTCCGATGCCGACGCTGACTACATGTACTTGAGTACTTCTACCCCTATCTTCAATTTTTAAGCGGAATTTATAATTTATGGTTTGGGTAGTCACTTTTTTTTTTTGGGTCTGCTTTGCTTTCAGAAGTCGTAAAGTCTTGAATGTGAGATTGTTCCCCAATGAAAGTACAGGCAAAGGATGGGACCAAAGTGTAATTTATTTCATTGTCAAATGTTAGATATCAGTTGTGGAGGTTGCTTTGACCGTTTATGTAATTGGGCTTATCTTAATTTGCAGGTAATGCAGATGCATTATCAAGTTCTATTAGGTACTGGAATTATGTTTGCTAATTCGATTTTTCTTAATTATTAACGAAGTACAAAGTGGGAAGGACTTTATTTGTTATTTTACTAAACGAGTAATATTGGTTTTGTGACAGTGACTCAGTGAGTCAATTTACCTTGTATGGATTACTTAAGGGAAACAAGCCAGGTTTTCAGCGAACTCCTTTTATGCTTCTTTGGTTGATAGATTCAAGGAATGCCTGTAACACTGACGCAATAAAAGGTAAGTTTCAATTGTATTTCACCTATCAGCCGAAGGCACCTATTTCTTCTTCTTCTTCTTCTTGTACGGAGAGGCATTTTTGTTTGTTGCTCGTTCGTTTGTTCATTCATGGTTAAGAAATAGCAACCTGGCGTTTACCTTTGTTGTAATTAACAAACTCCAACTTTATAAGGAAATGAAATGTTGCACTTTGAGTATGATGATTCATGGATTTGCTCATAAGTACCTTCCGTAAGGTTGAGTACACTTTTAGCTTATACCTTGTATATGTTGTTATAACCCAACGGAAAATTGGCATAAACAAAGTGATCTGGAGAAGATGTGTAAATCGATAAATGGTGCGAATTTCGCCATCTTTGGAATGCCGCAAGTCTCTCACCTTTTCCCAATGTAGAACATGGGGGTCTTATTATCTCTCAAACAATTGATATTCCCATCACGACTCATGGTATTAACAGAATTTTTCTGGTAGTGAAGATTAGCAATTTAGCATAGCCTAGTATAGCCACCAAATCTCCCACTACATAGTTATCAGTCTCATTGTTTAGCAAATTGATGCAGAATTTTTTCACTTTTCCTTCATTCCATTCACTAACGAGGATGTTAGCTCCAATCTAGCCAATTAGCAGTGACAAAAATGAAAGAATCTGTCTGATACTGGATAGGAGAAGAGAGAGGGATTTGGGTGGACAACAGAATTCTCATGAATGCTTTGAATCTTGATGGTAGTAACTACTCTTGTTTGCCAACTCAGTGCAAACCCAGATAATTCTATTTTGTTAAGATACCATAGTATTCCCAATTATTAATGATTGTTCATTCATTATTTAATTTATAGATTAATGACCACAGTGTTCCATAACAATCGTAATTTTAATTCATTCTTGTCAATGTCTTCTTTTGTGGCTTATAAAAAGTATCAAAGGAATGCCAACCAAATTTTTTCTTCGCCTCAACCAAATAAGCTATTGTTAATTGAAAATTTGTTGCTATTTCCATTGTCTTTTACATCTGGTATTAACCACTGACGGAAACCCATAATTCATCTTGCCACTTTACTAATTATAAAGGAACAGACTGTGAGGCTACAGTTATCATGACGAGTGGTCAATTCTGTTGTGTTGTATAATTTGATAGACATCGATTCATTGGAAAGCTTCTTCTCTCTATTTAGATTGAATTCTCTTTAAGGAGCCTTGGTGATGTGTGTGCCCCTTTCCTTGAATGCATCTTGTAAATCTGTTGAACTTAATGCTATGTCATGTTCTGATTTTAAGATGCTTCATATTCTTGCAGATGGAGTTTTTGGAGCGATGATGAAGGTAAGCTTATGTCCGTCCAATTTCTTTTTAATGATGAATGCGTCGGGTGTTGATGTCTAACGGCTACACATGTTAACTGTCCTCATATTTGTGATGGTGAGAAGGTCAGTTTGGTTAATGATGAACCAGTAACAATGCAGCTTGATTCACAATCACCAGAGTGAGTAGAATCTTGGTTAAAAGTGTTTGCGTTCGGGACTATAAAAATAACAGCTCCATTGACAATTCCATGAATTCAGGAATTCAGTTGATGCCATGCCGCAGAATCTTGATGTAGTGGTTGGCCGGCTTTGATGGAGAAAGGTATGAATTCTGACCCTTGAACTATGAAGTAGAGTTTGGATCCTGTTTTGCCAAACTAATATTTTTTCCTTATCTCTAAGAAGAGCATCATTTTCTTCCTCTGGTAGATTACTAGATTTCTTGATTTTGGCTTTACCATCTGGCATTGGCTTGGAGTCATACGCGAATGATGCTGTATTGTGCGTACATGGAATTCTGAAGTCTCTGTTAGGAAATCTGCTTATAGCTGTACCCTTTTGTTTACACTTGAACAACAGAACAAGACATTAAGCCTGTTTAATCTCAAATTTATTTTAAGCCTGTAAAGTTGAGATATTTTAAAATTTGGATTAAATTTCGACTTTAAAATGTGTTTCTATTTTAAAATTATTATTTATTTTAATTATTTTGAATTTTAGAGCATTATAATTTGTATTTTAGATAATGAATATGTAATATTACAATGTAAAACTTACTTTTTAAAAAATTAAAGGGAAAATAGCCATTAATTACAATTATGGGCCATAAATTATTGAAATCTCTATAATATACTATGGTCTTTACTTGAAATTAAAAACATATGAGTTTATAAAATTAGAGGTGGTACTATAGGTTGAGCCCGCCAACCTGCTAAATAGTAGAGGAGTGGGTTAACAAAAGTGGGTTCACTTATATGCTGGTTGGGTTTTGACTCGCCCCGCATAACATGAACCCGCAATGGGCTAACCTGCGGGTTGACGGGTTAGCCCGCAATTTTTTTTTAAATAAATTTGACTCTTCCTAAACCTTTGTGACACAAAACAAAACCCTTGCCTCCTCATTTAGCTTCACTCTTCATCTTCAGAGTTGCCTCCATTCCTTCTTAGTCTTCACTACGAGTCATCGTTGTCGCTGTCAGTGTTGCCTCATCATCATCGCAACTCACCTTAGTCCAAACTTTGGCGACTAGCAACCTCAATGCTCCTCCTTTTGAAGTCACTCAAGCCCTCAGCTCCAGCCTCTATCTTTTTGCCATGCAAATCCGTGAATTAATTTAAATAAAAAAAGCTTCCATGTTGTAGCCTTTTTTTTTTTTCTTTAACTATATTGTATTTTCCTTCTCGTTTGGCAGAGTCACATGATAGTCTAAAAGTGCTAACAAGTTGGCATGCAAAGAGCAGCTCATATAAATATATATATATATATATATGTATATAATATTTTGCATCTTTAAATGGTAATTAGTTATTAACTTGTTATTCTTTCTTCAAGTTTTGTCTCACTTGTGTCTAGAGTGAACATATCAGTACTTAGTAATAATTTTGGGACTTGTACCGATTATGGAAAATAATTAGTATAACTTAAAGCTTTAGAGAAATCAGCTCAAATTAATATTATTGCAACTTTTGACAAAGCTTTTAACATTATTATTGATTAAGAAAAATTTTCAAGTTTTGGATTGTGATTTTAATGATTTGGAAGGAATTTTATTATTATTTGGATAATTAATTTTTAGAAAGAAAATATAATTTTTTTACTGCAAAACAAATGAAAAGAGGTGATATTATAATTTTTAATACTAAAAAAAAGTTAAAAAAATTATTTTATTAGTGGGTTAGCCTACCAACCCACTAACCTGTAGCGGGTTGGGCAGAAACACAACTCGCCAAGATGCAGGTTATGCCAACCCATAACTCGCAGTGGGCCAACTTGTGGGCTGTCGGTTGGCCCGTATTACCAGCTCTATATAAAATTACTATGAACTTGAAAAATAAAGAAATGATTGTTGAAATTAGTATCATGGGATGATAATATTGTTAATCTCAGTTGGGAAACTAATGAACAATAGTTGGGAATGGATTGTTTTTAAGTATGAAATTAAAATTTATTTATGAAGCTTTTCAATGACACTTGTGAATATATAATAATCACTTAAAAATTTATCAAAATCACTTTTGAATGTTAATCCAATTATTTGTAAATTTTTATGTTTGTTAATATATAGGTATATCACTTGAAAAATAAAGAAATGACACTGTTTAAATTACTATTGTGAGATTGAAATATTGTTAATTTTGGTTGGAAAATCCATTGGCAATAGATTGTTTCTCAATATGAAATAAAAATTCACTTTTGAAACTTTTCAAGGGCAATTGTGAATATGAGTCATCTGAAAATTTATTAAAGTCACTTCTATGGATATTTTATACTATTCGCATTTTTTAATTTCAAGTAAGGATCATGGTTTGTTATTATAATTGTAATTAATGATCATTGGGGTCCCTAATTGTCATTTTTCCAAAATTAAAAAAACAAATAAACGGTCTCCTAGGTCCAGTTGTTTTCTTGACTTTATGTATTAAAAGTTATTTCAGTAGCAACTTATTTTTTTTTTTTTATGGTTTATTGCCCTTTTACTTCTCCACAATGTAAGTACATAATCCCTTCGGTCTCATTTTATAAGACAACTATAAGTAATTTTTGGTTAAAATATATAATACTTTGTAACAATTTAACAATTTTTTTTAATTTTACCCTTTCTTGATTAGCATGAAGGTATTTAATATAGTTGTATTATCATTCAAAGCTAATGTAAAAATGAAGGTATATTTTTTTATGATATCAAGAAAAAACTAACTTTTTTTAAAATATGTGAAATTGTTGAAAGTATTCTATAATAAGGACTGGAGGGAGTATAATTTATTTTATTGCACAAATTATTATGTTTTATATGTTGAAAATATAAGCATTAAATTATTTTTTTAAAAATATATTACTATGCATAAATTAAGATTTTTAGAAATAAAAAAAATATGTTGAGTGGCATGCCAACTATTTTAGAATTTTTGTAATTATAATTTGTAATTCTATTGCATGTTTTGCGCACGCACACACACACATATATATTTATTATAGGTTCCATATTCATCATTCATTTTTTTAATGAAAAAAAATCCTATAAGTTGAGACATTATTTTCTATGAAGCTTTCCTTATATATATATATATATATTTACATTTTATTATTTATTTTGTAAAACATAAAATATTATCTATCTTTCTTCTTTTATATTATTATTTAATTGGGTCAAATTTGAGTATTGTTTAGTTTAATTGAAGGTAATATTTCTCAATTATATTTTCTATATTTACATGGGCTTGACTTTTATGAAATTTATGGATTATCAATTTTGAAATATCTATTCCCATTTTTTTTTAACTATAGATCCCACATTCATCCTTTTTTTTTTTATGGGAGAATGATTGATAAATCCTTATAAGATGGGAAAATGATAATTCAATCTCGCAAAATATAATAATGACAATGAGGTCTTAAAGGACTTTTTTGAGATTAAATTTTTGTGTAAAATTACTTTATTACCTTTTTGCAAAATTGGTAAACACCTTGCTATAATCAGTCTCAGTAGGATAGATCAGGTGTATGGAAGCATAGGTAAGGAATTGTTTGGATATGGTTGGATAGGACTCAGATAGTTTTGAACTAGTTGTGAGCCAAATCTGCTTTTATTTGCTGTAGTTGTTTTCTTACTTCAAAAATTTCATTTTCTTTTCTGAAGAACTCTGATCCAGTATATCCTTCCTCAATAAATCTGCAGAGTTTTGTATCCAGGTTTTGTTCTTATTTACAGAGTCTTTGATATAGATTATTTACCCGATCATCAATCTGATTAACCTATCAAGGCAGGCTTTCTGTTGTTGTTGTTAGATGATCATGTTTTGAATTGATTTTGTGTGAGACCCTATTTTGGATGACAGCATTCTGAGAACTATGAGTTTAAAGCTTCTTCTATAAGGGAGACTGGCTTAAGAGTACCTTGAGGAGTAACTTTTGTTTGTGACACGAAATGTCTGCTAGTGACCTTTATCTTGTCATTTATTTTTCGCTCAATGGGAGGAAATTTTTCCTCATAGGGTCTTATCATGCAATACAAGGCAAGGCACAAACTTGTGCAAGAGGGAGAGTTGGAATGATAGGTTGTGACTTCTCTAAGGGAAGAAGGTCTTCATCACCAAGTTGCTTGAGGAGTTCAAAGAGAGTACTCATTTCAGTAGGAGAATTTGGAGGTCCTACCCATTTTTTATTTGTAATATGTCTAAGACCATGGTCATCATCATCATCCTTTGGTGGATGCTTGTGCTTGCATGGAGATCTAGGTTGCTTAGGTTTTGTAGTTCTTCTTTTAGAACTAAAATCTTCTTCATCATCATAATCATTCCACAGATGGTAATCACAACTAGGGTCACATATTTTTAGAGCACAATCTCAAATAAAGTGACTATTAATATGAGAGACATAAATTAGTTTGGCCTTTGAGGTAAACCACTCAATCGAAATGTCTCTTTCTTTCTTATGAAAGTCGTGGCTATTGATAGTGTTTTTCTAGAGATCTAGTTTGGATCTTGAATTTCAAGCTTTTTGAAAATTGATTTGACAGTACCATCCTGAAGTATGCAAAGTGTAGGGGATTCCATGGTGTGAACATCCCTCGAGACGTCATGAAATTACTTTTCATAGTTGTTGATCCATTCCAGTGGCATCCTCTGAGCAAGTTCTTCTTGGGCTGATGTCTCAAAATTGGATGATCAATGAGTCACTTGGATTGTTTGCAACTATTTACAAGACATCTCTGTTTGTGTTGGGAAAATTATGATCAAATGAATGATCTTGAAGTTTGAAAATCATTTGGTGATTGAGGGTGGCCATACTAGCTTCTTGTTGTTCAGCTTCATGAATCAAGATTTAAACTTTCAGTCTGGTAGAGAGAGTGGGCTCTGTGATCTTGATGTTAAATTTAGGGGTTGTGGTGAGAACTACACTTTCTTGCTCGAAAGTTGTTCAAATGGCTTTAATTAGAGCATTTTCATATGCTTTGTAAGTAGTATCAAGCAAAGATACCCTAGCTATAGATGCTATACCTTTTCTCCCATGAAGGGTCAAAACTAGGCGGATAGCTCTAACATGAAGGTGAGTATACCCTTGATTGATCCAAGTATTAATCAATGGCTAGGCAATTTCAAGAGTGATGTACTGTTCAGTTGTAGTTGTTGGAATACCACACTGATCAAGTTTAGAGGATTGGATAACCTCTTTTAGTTGGAGTTTGTTTGTATGAATCAAAGACTAATTCCATGAGTGAAAGAGGTTTTTCTATGGTAAAGCTTTCAAGGGTTAAGGAAAGGTAGTTTTGTAGGAAGGACACGGGCATTTTCTGAGACAGCAGAATACTTTTTTTTTTTTTCCAAGAGAAGTGCCTTTTTACAGAGGAGGGAATTTGATCAAAAGAAAAGGCTGAGGAACGATGAATAGGTTCAAGAGAAGTAGAATTTTTTGAGATTTCACTCATAATTTTTAGGTTCTCTTTACTCACTTTTCATCAATAATATCTTATTTTTGTCAATAAGATTTTAGGCTTTGATACCACGGGGGTGGCACTGATAAGCGCCAATCTTAAAGATCTCTTGAATCTATGTGTCTTAGGATATATTGATCTAGGTAAGCCCTTTCAACACCTCTTTCAAGCAAACTCAATTACTTTAGAATCCTCAATCCCTTAACACGTAAATCCACAAGTACCTGAGCATAGTGATATGGGCTCACACTTATGGATCATTAGTTAAATTCATTGTGATGTATAAGATTCTTAAAGAGAGGCAAATGCAAAGAATACTTGACTCTTAATATGATAAAAATAAGATATTAAAGAATCAAGCTTTCAAGAGAAGAGAAAGAGTTTAGAGATACATGTTTAATAAACATATGGATTTTTATTTCCCAATTGAGTTCTATTTTACAACATAGCAAAGATTGTCTTTTATAGATGAAGGGAAAAGATAAGGACAATGCATCTATTATTACAAAATGATACATGAAGATATACCTTTAAAAGTAAAGTTAGATATGACACAAAGCAAATCATTTTGTTAAAAAGTAAAAACTATTTTTAACAAAATTAGTCAAAGATAAAGTTGATGTTAATAAAAGAAAACATTATTAAAGTAACTTTTGACAAAATTATTATGAAATAAAAAGACATGGTAGACATGACTAAAGTAAAAAAGATTCTTATAATTATCATAGGTTCTTGCGGATGCATTTCTGATTTAATAATAGGTTGAGCCATTTCTTTGCTTCCTTTCAGTGCCATCCGACAGTGGGAGTTTCGAGAATGAGCTAGTTTTCATCAAAATTTTGATCCATATCCTAAGATGGTTCAATGACAGGTATGTCTTTTAACTCAGGGAACATCTGGTAGGTTTGAGTCTCTAGCTCATATAGGTTTTGGCTATTTGGAGGAAATGATGGAAGAGTGGATGCTGATGATACTTTATGATAGGATTTCATCAATGTAGCATATCTTTTTTAAATAGTAATACTGAAAAGCTACTCTAAAAACTCATATTGGACTGAGGGTGATAGATCATCAAAGATAATAGGCTAATGAGGAATGAGACCGAGAGATGTACACCTGAGATTGGGATCTACTGTTGAGGAATTATTCATTTCATATAAAAAAATTTCAATTCACTTAAAGTTTAATTTTCATGTAATGACTAGTTAGTTATAGTCTTCCATAAATATGTTTGGTTGGCCACATAGAGTTTTCTTTTGTTGTCAAGATGATAGGGATGATGGATAATAAAGAAATAGTAAGCCTTTTGTCCACTTAGTAGCACTTTTCAATTTTGTTCTGACTCAATTACTTGTGATAATTCTTTACGCCATTTGGATATTGGTGTGAACCAGTCAAGAAGCTTCTAAAGGTTTAATCCTTCATTGGCAGTGTATTTTGCAAACAGATGCAAGTTTTGATTATTGAGAAGTAATACTTATTGAAAAAGACAATGGGAAAACATTATTGTGGCCATGCTAGTGGTGAATTCAAACCATCTGAAAAACACTACCACATCGCCTATAAAGAAGTCCTAACTGTGAAACGGGGCATTGAAAAATTTAACTTTCATCTCAGTCCCTGCATTTTATGGTAGAAATGGACAACACGTTATTTCTAAAAATCCTCTATTAGAATAGAAACATTCTTCCTAAAGCTTAACTCCTTTGATGGAAAGATTGATTTTTTAGTTATATATTCACAATTTAACACATCAAAGAAAATCACAATATTATTGCAAATTGTCTCACTAGACTTCAGAAAAAGGTCAGCCTCATAACTCTTTGACAAATTTAGCCTCTTTTTATCCTTAGCATCATGTTTAGCCAATTTGCTTTTCCCCTGATCATTTTCCTACCTCAGTCTCCGAAGTCTAAAGTTAACTAGAAGAATTCTTTTCTTTGGCTCTACCTTCTTAAAAAAACCAAGCTCAACCACATCTTGAATTCTTTGATATCCAAATGCCTTACTTGGCCATATCTTTCATCAGAGGCCCTACACTATACAAACTTGTGCTACCTTTGGTCTCTTTCAACCTTTTACATATGTGCCTTAGCTCTTCCTCCATTAAAAATATATCGTTATATGACTTAGCTCACCCTCAGTCCAATGAGTTTTAGAGTGGCTCTTCAGTATTGCTATTTAAAAAGGATATGCTACATGGATGGAATCCTATTAGGGAGCATTGCCATCTACTCCTCCATCATTTCTTATAGATAGCTAGGAGCCATATGAGATAGAGACTCAGACTTACCATCTGTTTTTCGAGTTAAAAGACATATATGCCATGAATCATTTTTGGATATAAATCAAGATTTTGATGAGGACAAGCTCATCCTTAAAATTTCCACTACCGGATAGCACTAAAAGGAAGAAAAGAGATAGCTCAACCTATTATTAGATCAGGAATGCATCCATAAGAGCTTGCAATAATTTTAGGAATATGCTTTACTTTAACGATGCATGTCATGTCTTTTTGTCTCATAGTAACTTTATCAGAAGTTACTTTAATAATGTTTACTTTTGTTAGCTTCAACCTTATCTTTGAACAAATTTGTCAAAAGTAGTTTTGACATTTTGACAAAATGGTTTGTTTTGTATCATGTCTAGCTTTACTTTTGAAAAGAGTGTCTTCGTGTGTCATCTTATAATATTAGATATACTGTCTTTATCCTTCTTCCTTCGTCTATAAAAAAGAGTCTACTATTTTGTAAAATAGAACCCTTTTTGAAAATAAAAATTCATGTTTTTCTTAAATATGTCTGTCTAAACTCTCTCTCCTCTCTTAAAAGCTCAATTCTTTAATATTTTATTTCTGTTATATTAAGATTCAAATGTACTCTGCACTTGCCTCTCTCTAAGGATCCTATGCATTAGAACGAATCCAGCTAACGATCTATGAGTGTAAGCCCATATTACTATGCTTAGAGATTTGTAGATTTATGTGTTAAGGAGTTGAAGATTGTAAAGTGAGCCAAGTTTGCCTTGGAGAGGCATTAAGGAGGCTTACTTGGATCAATATGTTTTAAGACACGTAGATTGAGGGGATCTTTAAGACCAAGCATACATGAGTCCCGCCCCTAATATCTTTTGCAGGGAGGTTACTTCTAATGATCTTTTTCCAAATAGCGTATACAGGGAAAATCTTATATCAATTTTTCTTTTGGTAATAAGATTTATCTTTAAATAGCTTTCTATACCCAACTTGTAAACGATATAAAATTAATTAGTTAATCTTTGTTGATAGAAAGTTGTAATTTTCTAATAGTTTTAGTTATTAGTGGAATCACACTTATAAATACTTATACTAAACTTGTGAACTATATCAAATTAGTTGAACTTTGGTAGATGGGGGAAATTGCTAATAGATGTGATTTTTTAAATCCTTTTAATCATTATTGAAGCCAAACTTGCAAATTCTTGTATCAAACTTGTGAATCATATAAAATTAGTTGTATATTAGTATTAAAGTAATTTCATACAAAAATTTAATTTCAACGAAGTTTCTTGAGAACTCATTGTTATTATCACATTTTATGGAATCAAATTGTCATTTTCATGTTTCAGGGAAATTTATTTGTCATTCTTCCTTTTTTTATTATTAGCCTTTTATTATTTTTAATTCTCATATATTATATCATAATTTTCAAAACTTATTTTATTTTATTTTAAAATATTTACTAAATAAAAATTCAAAAAAAAGTCATAACGGCAAGTGAAATAGGTACTGTAAATCTATAATATCCATTCACGGATTTTTAATTTTACCATGAGGCTTTTATTTTATTTTTAATTCTCATTTACTATATCATAATTTAAAAATTTATTATATTTTAGTTTTTAAAAATTTATTATTATAAAATGTAAAAAAAGTCATATGAATGAGTCACACTATAGATCTACATGACTCATCTAAGGCAAAATACATAGATTTTTTTCTTTGGCAAACATATAGATAAATTTAATAAAAAAAGTTAAAAAAAAGAGTCGGATTGCACTCCTGCAAACGTTTGTTTAATATTATGGACTAGATAAACCATTGGACTAGATTTATTATAACAAAATATAAATATAAAAATTAAAAAATATTTTTAGAGTACTTATATTTAATTATTTTATGTAAATTAAAATTTGAATGATAATTTATTCTATTTTAAAATTTGTTATGCCTATGCATATTAAAATAGGGTAAAGTGACAAATTTGGCCATGAAATATTTTTCTAAGAGCATCTGGTAATCTAAACTATTAGGTAATGAGACATAAATCTTCAACTTTTAAAAATAAAGAATTTAGTAGCGCACTGTTTGTAACAGAACTAGTTGGAGGTTTAAGTTTGGGAAGATTTCAAAATACCTCTTTGGTGAGGTGAGGAATAACTCAAGTACCACCTTAGAAAAAGTTGGTTTTCACTACAGTGATGTGAGTTGGCCCAATTTAAAAGAGTCTCGGTGGTGGGTTGGTATGTGGGGTCTATAATAACATGTAGCACTCCATGTTAGCATACGTTAATAAGTAAATTTAGTCACAACTTATTTTTTGAGAAGTACTTGGTAGCTTCTACTATAAAAAACAAATCATCCAATACTTTTTCATCAATATTTATCAAATATCGTTTATTTTCTTACTCATGAGACTTACAACACGTCAATTTCTTCAATATTCTTGCTATTGTTCTTAGTCTCGACTTAATAATAAGTTCAAAGAATTATTATTTGAAGACATTCACGAGGACGATGTCAATGAAATAAAAGTTTGATTTTACTATGCATGGGAAAAACTTGATTCTAACTTTATTTAGTCATAATTATTTCTTCTATTTGTTGGCATTGTATTTGTGAATTTTTTAGACATCTTCTTCTCGAGTTGAGTTTGAGAAAGAAGGCAAAAAAATTGAAGAGATTGATGCGTTGTTGGTCTCTTAAATATAAAAATAAACAATGTTTGATTAAAATTGATGGAAAGGTATTGAATGGTCTGCTTGTGTATAATAGAGGTTATCCCGTGCTCCTCTAAAAATAGTTTGTTAAAATTTGTTGCTTTACACATGATAATGTGGAGTATCATATGTCATTGTGGGTCCCACATAATGTCTGTCGACTAAAGTTAATGATAGGTTATTGGATGTTCTATCTTTGAAAGTGGATGACTTAGTTCGCACCTCCTAATAGTTTAGAATGCCAGATGCTTCTGAAAAAATAGTAAGTGATTAAATTTGCGCCTTTATCATTAAAAATATAAAATTATTTTAAATTCTCCTAGATAAATTAAAATTTAATGAATAATTTCTATTTTTCAAGTATGAATGAGCATGGCACTCTTAACAGCAATGCTTTGCATGTTTATCGGTAGAAATTAAATCATTTTATTCAGAATTCAAAAATATTAATCTATCTATTTATTTTCTAATATACTATCTATATTTCAGTATGAATTTAATTATTTATTAAACAGTATAATTTTATGTTGAAATTTTTTAATTATTTTCAATTATATTTTATTTTGAACTTGAAATTGAAGATTTATTTAACTATTTAAGTACTTAAGGTTTGAATACTTGGATAAGTGTCTAATGATAAAAAAAAATAAATTTATTGAAGAAAATCTTAACGACGACATCTTAAACATTCAGAATTAAAGTTATCAATTTTGTATTACTTTAATGCGTAATTTTAATAATTTTACAACCTGGTAATTGTACTTGGATTTAAATTGATAATTTATTTAATCATAAGACGTTTAAATCCAATTGATTATTAATAGTCATAAAATTATATTTAAAAACATAAATACCTTTAAAATAAAAATAGTGAATACGTATAATATGTATGGTATCAATAAAAAATTATATGATATTTAATTTTGAACTTTGATTATGTGAGATACGTTGGCAGATCATTTAACTTAAAAATTATATTAGATTTAAGATTAAAATTTCCTTCTCTAAGGATAGATTTCTGGTGTTTTTTATTTTTTTGTAAATTAGAGGATCTGTTTTTATCTGGATATATAGATGTATTGCTAATGAAAATAACAATAAAATTGAAGCATGCAAGGCAAAAATATTTTTAATTTAATTTGTGTTGTTTGTTAGACTTCATCCGGTCATTCTAGTGAATTTAATATTGTTAGTATTTCAATTTGAATTTAAAATAAAGGCAAATAAAAAATTGTTGAAAATTATTCTAAAAGCAAATAAAAAATTGTTGAAATTATTCTAAAAATAAAAAATGTTTTTCAATTTGAATTTAAAATAAAGGCAAATAACAAATTGTTGAAAATTATTCTAAAAGCAAATAAAAAATTGTTGAAAATTATTCTAAAAATAAAAATGTATAGGATTTAACACTTAAGATTTAATTTATGTTAGATAAATTCCATCAAATCTCTTTGGGAGGTTAAACATATCTAATTAGTTAAAAGCTATACTGGATGGTAATCAATAAAGTTCAAAAATATTGAATATGAAACCGAAGATTCAGGGGACTTGAATATACTTGAAATATCTTGTTAAGATTTGGCTGGTCATACTATAAAAAGAGAGCGAATGATGCGAGAAGGAACTTTGTGAAAAGGTCTGCGAGCGTGTGACAAAAGAAAGAGTGATCGTCACTTCGTGTGAGAGAGAGAGAGAGAGACGAAAGGTGATCGAGAGAGAGAGAGAGAGTTGATCGTTACAGAATGAATACAAGGGTCGCAAGGAGAGGTGATCCGGTTCCTTGTTATAGGGACATCAGAAATACCTCAAGGTTTCTGCAGAATCAGAATCAAACTTCAACTGCACGTACTGGCAAAGCCGATAATGGCGCAAGACCCTCTAAGCCCAAACCCCATTCATCGGCAACAGTTTGCAAGTACTGGATCAATGGAAATTGCGCACATGGCGATCGTTGTTGGAACTTGCATTCCTGGTTTCAGGGACATGCCGTTTTTCTCCGCTCACTAAGCTCCATCAACACAAGAAGGTATTGACTCCATAAATTGGTTAATCATGTTTAATGGGTTAGCTTAAGCCTATATAAAGGCTAGGGAAATTAATTGTAATATCTCATGGTTAGTCCCCATTGTTTGGGGTTTGTACATTTAGTTTGTTGTTGTAAACCCTTCAAAGTGAAGGATTACTTCTGTTGTAATGTTCTATCATAATCATCATATGAATCTATTCATTTTTCTTCCATTATTCAAGTCTCAACATTTGTCCTATCATTTTATAAATTGGTATTTTTGTTTGAGTACTAAACCTTAAACGACGACTCTAGATTGTCACCGGAATTACACTTCCGGTTGGATCGGACAAACTATTTTCCAGTAGCACTGATGGGACAGTTCGCATATGGGACTGCCATACGGGTCAATGTGTTAAAGTTATAAATCTGGGTGCTGAAGCAAGATGTTTGATCAGTGCGGGTCCGTGGCTTTTCGCCGGTGTGAGCAATACTGTTAAAGTGAGCTCTAAAACTTCTTCATTTGTTGTGTCTCTCATGTTTTCATGTGTCATACTTTACTGACATTGATTGTGTGGTTGTTATTAATTATTATGAAGGCTTGGAACATTTGCTGAGCTCACTCTTGACGGACCTAAGGGTCATGTACTTTCCATGGCTGTTTGCAACGATATACTTTTTGCTGGAGCAATGGTAATTAATTGTTTATTAAATGTTTTACCAAGTTCTTTTCTATGTTTTATATACACATTTTACTATGATCTCACTTTGCCTTTATATCATGTGTAGGATGGTGTTATTTATGCATGGAGTGCCATTTCTGATGCAAATGTCCCATTCAAACCATTGGCAACGTTAAATGGCCATAGCAAAGCTGTTGTTTGCTTAACTGGCGGACCAGGGGACAAGCTCTACTCCGGTTCCATGGATCATACCATAAAGGTATGTGCCTACAAATGAAAAGATTATCCATATTTTAGGCGCCAACGTAACCCCATGTCGTTTTTTTGTTGTAATATCTTACTATAGAACTAGTTTAGACAGCTAGTCTGTTATAGGTTTTGATGAACTGTAAATCTCTCTTTATATTTTCGTATCATAAATTTTCTTAAAAAATATTGTTTCACAGTCTAATATTATTTTATTTTGAAAACTGAGCTCATTTGAATTAAAACTCAGATTATTTTGCTTTCTGAAATTATATTATATATATATATATATAGATATATGTTGTTGTTGTTGAATTCGTTCGGAAAGTCTTAATTGATTTCATTTTATTTTCAGGTTTGGGACCTCAAGACATTACAATGCACGATGACGTTGAAAGGGCACACTGATATAGTGACATCTCTTATCTGGTGGGACCGATATTTGTTCTCAAGTTCATTGGACGGCACAGTTAAGCTTTGGACTGTAACTAGAGAAGAAACTTTGGAAGTAGTGTACACGTACCATGAAGAACATGTGAGTTTGTGTAGATAAATAGTATATATTATTGCTGATCCAGCATTGCTTTTACGACTTAATTTACATCTTAAGTAATAACAATGGGTACTGAAGCACTGCTAATTCTTCTTACTCTGAAACCCCTCTGATCTAATGTATAGTTTTTGTTGATGTTGCAGGGTGTGGTTAGAATTAATGGGATGATTGATGCAGATGGGAAGCCCATTTTGTTTTGCTCCTGCAACAACCACTCAGTGGGGTTGTATGAAATGCCATCGTGAGTAGATATATGTTTCTATTTTTTTTGTGTCAGTTTAATATTATGTTTGGGTTGATGACAAAATATAATGGCAGTGTGCAATTCATATAATTTATCCCACCTAATGGAAATAATGCTTGTCGTTGTTGCTTAATATTGTATGTAATCATATCAGGCGCTCATATTGTGTTTCTTGTTTGATCAGATTCGGTGCGAGAGGAAGATTATTTTCAAAACAAGAGATTCGAGTAATAGAAGAAGGCCCTGGTGGACTCTTCTTCACTGGAGACGGAACTGGTTTGCTCACTGTCTGGAAATGGTTGGCAGAGTCGGAGCCTAAGATCGCATCTTCATGATTCCCAATAATTATGTAGTTTAATTTAACCATAGAGTTTGTGTATATATATATATATCTTCCTCGTCTTGGACAAGATCAATCATAGCAAGATTATTGATGTGTTTCAAAATATTTGTTTGTAACATTGTATACATGTGTTCGATTCCAATTATGAGATGCCCGTGTGGGGCATCAACAACTCTTGATCTAAAGAATGTATACATTCATTCATATTTATATTCTATCATTGTAAAATCTTTATAGATTTATTTTAATTATTAGTTCTGATTTTTTCTATGGATGAACTCTTTGTGCATGTTCGACACCCAACTTATTTAACACAATTCTCTTGTTACTTCTATGAAATCTCTTACCCATGAACTTTAACCTTACACATGATAATGAAAGCAAAAGCTCCAATAATATCATATGCTTACAAATCATATTTATTTTTAGAAAAACACAATTATCGATTTTTATATTTTTATTAGATTTTGTTTTTTGTCTTTTAATTTTTTTTTACGTTTTCAATTCTTATAGTTTTCACAATATTAGGTGACATTTGTTACTTGAGTTCCCATAGTTTTAATATTTTTAGTCTCCATAATAACTAAAAATATTTAAATTATAAAATTTGATAAAATTATAATGGCTAATTAATTGTGTTTTCCTTTTAGTTTTCAAAATATTGTATGATAAAACTTTGGTAGTTTGGTTCCATTTTGGGTTTCTATGAGTACAAAGGATTGAATGATAAAGCTTTTTTTTTTTAAGGATGTTTATTTTTTTAAAACTAGACACGATAACTTTGACCAAATTTGACGAACCAATTTGAATAAGTGCGCAAAATCTTAGGGCCAAGTTTGAGATTTTAAAAGATTTTCTTTATTTCGAGTTATTTAGGCCTTCCAAATAAGCTTGAAAAAATTTGGGCCAAGTCAAACTCAAATACCTGAATTACTTTTTCATTATTAATAAAATAATGTAAAAATTAAAAATTAAATTAGAAAAAAAAATAAAATAAATAAAATAGCATAATATTTAACAATTCAAGTATTTGTACTAACTTAGATAAGCTTGAAAGCCCAAGAGATTAAGGGGCGGTTAGAATACTTTAAATTCGATTTGAATAAATTTGGCTTGAATTGAGCTTGCTATACCAAATTACTGACTCTATTTTTAACAAAGTAGGAAAAAAAAAAGGTTTTGGGAGGCCAATATGTTTGCTCACGTTGTTTTATATGTATGAAAAAATTTAGAGAAAAGATGTTCAGAGCATATATTTGAATAAAAAAAATGAAGTTATAAAATCCTTTAAGGGTTGAGGTTGGTTCCTAGCCTTGATTTATGAAGTAACTTAATTGAAAAGAGTTTACCATTTGTCTTCAATATTTCTGAGGATAAAATTTCTACTATCAATGCTCTTTATACTTACAAAAAATATAAATCATGTTAAAATGACTTTTAAGAAAAAATATTGTTGACAACGATAAGTAATTTTAGCATTAATTTATTAGTTTATTAATACATTAATTTGTTGATAGATATTTATCATTAGCATCTCACCCTTTACTTCCTCCAACTTCTGTACATAAATTAAAAATAATAGTAAAAAATAACATACACATATATATATACACTTTTGTTTTGGGGGGGTAAAGTCGCTTGCATTTAGAAACACTGAGCGTTCATATCACGCCCTAAAAATAAAGGATGACCGGCACAGGTATGAACCACTCTCACATTCCCGTAAGCCTTCAAGTGAATATTTATTCCATTTTCAAGAAAAGAACAAAATTTAATCGAATCACATGACAATTAAAATAACTTTTTTAAATTCATTATCATAAGAAAGTGTCGACGTTTTTGTAGAAATTTCAACAGAACCTCCCCTGTAACTAGATTTTTCCGAAAATTCTACAACAAAAATTTTTACAAATAATAACATAAATCAGGAGCGTAGCTCCTTTCAGCTAGCAAACAATAGACAGACCAAAAATAAGATTCATCAACCACCTATGTGGAGCGTTTACTCTTTCTTTCAAATCAAAAAGACATACAATTCATATATTCACATTAAAGCAATAATACAAATCAAAAAGGTCCAACCACTGTAACTAGTTGTCCTTTAGAGGTCGATGGTGGGATCAACGTCAGCTAATAAATCTGAAGCCAAAATAATTTTTCAGTGAATAGCATTCCCATGAAAAAAATTCTAAAAATTTTAATCAATAGTCTCTAATAATAGTATCAAATAGTTAAAACAATTTCACCAAAATTTATAAACATGTAAGTCAAGACCATTTTTATAAAATAAAAGTAAATTGAAAACAATTTATGTTATCATACTTAAAGAAAATAATCTGCTCTCATACAACTCAAAGTGATATAAATTACTATTCAAAATCAAGGAAATTTTGAAAACACATTAATCAACATTTAAAATATTGAGAACTCAATAGAACAGGTTACAAATGTGGATACTCAGTCCACGAGGGTAAATAAATAAACGCAGCTTATACCATGAAAACAAACGTGGGTACGAAGCCCACGAATACCAAACGTGAGAATAAAACTCACAAAAGAAACTAGCTAATGTTTAACCAAAGCGCTACGGGCTAACAAAACTGCCGTTAGCAACAGTATTCTGTTTTGAGTTCTCTTAAAAATCACGTTTCAAACATGCGAGAAAAATAATTATTGCTGTAATAAAATTACCGTTCTCAGTGCCAAACTCGCATGAACTGTTTCAATTCTCAAAATTTGTGAAAATCATACTTTGTAGCTAATATACCAATCTTGCAGTAATTGAATAGCCAATACATTTCAAAGCTTAACAACCATACAAAAATACCTTCATCAAACTTGAAAATACACTTTTGAAAATAATGAATGCACGTATCATAACTCGTTTATCCTTCGTTGATATTTCATAATTTTCAAAATTAATATAATTCATAAGAATAAAATATTTCAGAAAAAAGGCTATTAAAAATAAATTAAATGGAATGCTATTCACTTACCTGTTGCAGTTTCAAATCTCCAAAATATTATTTCTTTAATTTCTATCGGGATCCTCTTCCTCCACGCGTCTTGTAAAGATATAGTAGACAAAATTTAATAAATCATCTTTTAATTTTGCAAAGGCTTTCTTCCAAATTTCAGCTTCTACCAATATCCAATTATTTTCAATTGAAAATTGAATCTACACTATCATCATTTCAAAATTAGATTCTTTACAATACCCAAACTTAACTCATCTAAGTAACATTTAAATCAGCTATGCTTTGTCTAATTTAATGGAATCTAAAAAAAAATGCTGCTCCAAACAAAATCCTATTCTATTAACTAAGATACATCCTCAAATGTCCTTTTTCTTTCCAAAATTAACAATTAGTACAGAGGAAAGGAAAAGAAAACATGCGGGCTTCTCAAGCTTAATTCCTCCTCCCAAATCAATTAAGCTTAAAAGAAGATTTAAACTCAGATCTATATCCCTCTCGTAGCAACAAATCCATGAATAGATATTTCTTTTCTTCTCTTCTTTTATGTTAATTTCAGCTTGTTTGAATCATAATTTGTCCTTCCCAGTTAAACATGTACAGCAGCACAGAGGAGTAAAATATTCTTCTTCAATTATCAAATCATGCACCCACATGTACAGAATCTACAAGAAGGAAAGGACATCGTTTCTCACCTTAATTAGCAATGACAGAATCTATAGCAAAACAAGGAGAGAAAACGGAAGTCTCCAGCTAATGCAAGGAACAGAGGGAGATGCAGCACCGTTCAGGAGAAAAGGAAAACCAGAGTTAGCATCGCCTCAGCTCAAGACTAACATCACCCATTTTTGACGACCTTAACCCAGCAAAATGTTGAACTCGTACGCGGGAGAATAACACAAAAATAGGGGAGAATTCTAACTGAAAAGAACAGACTAGCCACGAGCACACCAGCGACGATAAGCTACGCGAACGCGGTGCCAGCTACGGTTGAAAGGAAAGAAAGCAGTGACCCATGAAAGACTGAGCAAAATTCGTCCAACCCTCACATCTCCTTCTGCTCTAGAATGACCGAGAAAAAGAAGAAGGAAGAGTTAAAATATCTAATGGAACTAAGGGCAGTTTGGTAATTTCACATAGCCAGAAAAAGAGAAAAATTTTAACTCTTCTTTTGGTCTCTTCCAGATTCAAACTTGGGACTTTGTGTATGAAAGGTTGCTCAGCTGCTACTAGACCAAGTCTCTAACTTGTTATATTTATTCCAAGAACTAATATAAACACACTTAAAGCAAGTTAACCTATATATTTATTTATTTATTTATTTTAAATTTATTTAGGGTTATTACAGTTCACCATTGCTATAGTCCAAATGGCCAAACAGTGGCATTAGCTTTTTTTTTTTTTTTGCCAACAGAAGATATCATAAAAGCAAATAAGAGTCTTACAAACAAATCGACCAAAAGAACATAGAGTCTAACCAAAATCTCAAAAAGAAGAGCAATCAGAAATTAACAAGTTAAGCAAAGGAATTTGGGGTCTAACGACCCAATCCAAGGGATATAAATCCTTTAAAGAAGCCTTAGCAATCTAATCAGCTACCAAGTCAGCTTCTCTAAGAATCCATGAGAACAAGCAGTTCCTAACAAGATTCTTCTTAAAGAGGATGTTCTAAAAAAAAATAGAGACACTTCCAATCAGCAACAGCCTAACCAGAGGTTAAGCAATCAATCAGACCCTTTGAGTCAGATTCAAAGAAGATATTAGAGAGATTCTTTGAAGCAGCAAACTCCACCACTCTATCCATAGCTAAGAATTCTACTTCAAGAACAGAAGAGGTTGGACAAACCTCAGATGAACTATCCACGATCTTACCATTACAATCCCTGACAACAAAGGAAGCAGCGGCAAGCACTAAATTAGAATTGAAAGCACGATCAGTATTTATTTTAAGCGAGTCACTCGGAGGAGCGACCCAAGAAGCACTTAAATCTAAATCAATGAGATTAACAGCGTTAACATCAGAGTTAGACTAGCCATTCGCATCCCAAAATTCACATAACTGCGCAAGGGTCCACGATAGCTTTTTCATACAAAAAGGAGTATCTAGACTTCTAGATCTGCTAGAGAGAACAAGCAATAAAAGCCTTTTGCCATTGATTTAAATTCTCATTAAAGAGCTAGAAAGATAACTCCGCCTATGTTTATAGCCGGTCCCAAGCCCGGGTAAAGGAGGAGGGTTG